ACTCTGAAAAGGCCATGAATAAAGGCAGCAGGTTGGAAGCACAGAACTCTGAAAAGGCATGAATGAAGGCAGCAGGTAAAGCTGAAACCATGGGCGTGTGGTAGATACAAGAACTAGGAGAGCTGACTAATGTCTTTGGAAAGAAATAGTCCCCAGAGCCCATTTCTCACTCTGCAGAATCAAGCTAATATCCCTCTCATGTAATGTAGCTCATGAGTAAAATGCAACACTTTAAGGTTGGAGGGGAGGCCGGGCGCGGTGGCTCAAGCCTGTAATCCCAGCACTTTGGGAGGCTGAGGTGGGTGGATCACGAGGTCAAGAGATTGACAACATCCTGGTCAACAAGGTGAAACCCCGTCTCTACTAAAAATACAAAAATTAGCTGGGCATGGTGGCGCGTGCCTGTAATCCCAGCTACTCGCGAGGCTGAGGCAGGAGAATTGCTTGAACCCAGAAGGCGGAGGTTGCGGTGAGCCGAGATCGCGCCATTGCACTCCAGCCTGGGTAACAAGAGCGAAACTCCGTCTCAAAAAAAAAAAAAAAAAAAGGATTGAAGGGGACACTAGTTCATAGTTAATGCAGGAACAACGGTGTGATCACATGACAAAGAGCGTTCATAGAGGAGGTATAAAGTATGGTCACTGCTCTCAAAGACCTTTCAAGGTCTTTTGCTCTAGATCTCTGTAGCATTCAACCAGTTTTAGCATTCATTTATGAGTTCTATTGGGTAGAGAAACAAAAGAGAACACTAGGATCTGAAGTTACTGAAGAAAGATCAGAGGCAAAGGGTGATTTGATCTTGAGGATGGTAAGATTTGGACAGCACACTTCTACCTATTTCTAAGACGTCAGAATTAGGTAGTAAACCCCTTTATTTGCAGGCTCAAGAGGTCAAAATGAACACCCTATATTCTGCGGCACAGAGGGGAAACAAATTTATTAAAGAATGATACCTTGCTTCAAATATTGCCCTCTCATTGGAGAATTTCACAAATAAATGAAACCTTTAAATTTTGTGAAGTTCGTTTATTGCTGAGAATTATTTTGTCTTGGTTGTGGTCAGTAACTCATTTGTACTAAGACACTGAGCTCAGTTAAACCAGAGGAAAGGGGATGGGAAATACAAATGGAACTATTTACACTCACAGAGGCACGGGGAAGCATGTCAAAACAGAACACTAGACCAATTCCTGACCACTTAAGACCAATATTTTTACCTATTAATTCAATTTCAGGATGAATATCCTATCTCCAAATGGTTCTATATCATGGCAAAATGTGTATAAAAATAATCATGTTATTTTTTAGCAGGTAGAGATGGGGGCCGCTTAAAAGTTATTATTATTTTTAATTGTGGCAAAAAAACATGTAACATAAAATTTACCATCTTAACAATTTCTAAGTGCACAGTTCAGTAGTATTAAGTATATTTCCATTGCTGTGCAGCAGATCTCCAGATTTGTTTCATCTTGCAAAACTGAAACTCTCTGCCCATTAAACAATTGCTCCCGATTTCCCCCATTCTCCAGCCGTAGGCAAGCACTATTCTACTTTTTCCTTCCATGAATGTGTCCACTCTAGATACCTCATATGAGTGGAATAATATAGTATTGTCCTTTTGTGATTGACTTATCTCACTTAGCATAATATCCTCAAAGTTCACCCATATTGTAGTGTGTGTCAGAATTTCCTTCTTTTTTCTGGCTGATTAGTATTCTGTTATAGTTACATATCACATTTTGTCACTTATTCATTTGTAGATGGATGCTTAGGTTGCTGCCATCATTTAGATACTGTGATGAATGCAGCTATGAACATGATTGTGCAAATATTTCTTCCAGAGTTTGCTTTTAATTCTTTTGGATAGATACCCAGACGTGGGATTGCTGGATGTTGTGGTAATTCTACCTTTAATTTCGTGAAGAACCACCATACTGTTTTCCATAGTGGTTGCACCATTTTACATTCCAACTAGCAGCAGGGCAAGGGTTCCAATTTCTCCATATACTTGCCAACAGTTGTGGGTTTTTTTTGTTTTGTTTGGCTTTTGATAGCAGCCATTATAACGGGTATGAAGTGATATCTCATTATGGTTTTAATTCACATTTCTTTAATGATTAGTGATGCTGAGCATTTTTTCATATGCTTGTTGGAAATTTGTATAACATCATTGGAGAAATGTCTATTTAAATCCTTTACTCATTTTTAATGGTGCCATTGGGTTTTGCTGTTGTTGTTGTTTTTAAAAAAAACTAACAGGATCTCACTCTGCCACTCAGGCTGGTGTGCAGGGAGGGGCATGGTCATGGCTCACCACAGCCTCAACCTCCCAGGCTCAGATGATCCTCCCACTTCAGCCTCCCCAAGTAGCTGAGACAGGTAGGTGCATGCCACCACAACTAGTGATATGGTTTGACTCTGTGATTCCACCCAAGTCTCACCTTAAATTGTAATAACCCCCATGTATCAAGAGCATGACCAGCTGGAGATAATTGAATCATGGGCCAGTTTTCCTCATGCTGTTCTAGTGATAGTGAGTGATAGATCTGATAGTTTTGTAAGGGGCTTCCCCCTTCACTTGGCTCTCACTTCTCTCACCTGGCTCCATATAATATGTGCCTGTTTCGCCTTCCACCATAATTATAATTTTCCTGAGGCCTCCTTAGTCATGCAAAACTGCGTGGGTCAGGCTGTTCTCAAATCCTTGAACACAATTCTCTCACCTAGGCCTCCAAAAGTGCTGGGATTATGGGCATGAGCCACTGTGTCCAGCCTGTTTTATTGTTCTCAAGTTGGGAGAGTTCTTTAAATGTTTTTGGATGTTAACTACTTATTAGATATATTATTTGTAAATATTTTCTCACGATTTGTAGACTGTTTACTCTGTTGATTGTGTTCTTTGATGCACAGAAGTTTTTAAGTTTCATATAGTTCCATGTGTTTATTTTTGCTTTTGTTGCCTGTGCTTTTGGTATCATTTTCAAGAAATCTTTGCCAAATACAATGTTATGAAGATTTCCCCTGTGCTTTTTCCTAAGTTTTATAAGGGTATGTCTTACCTGTAGCTTTTAAATCCATTTTGTGATTTTTTTTTATGTTGTAAGGTCCAATTTCATTCTTAGGCATGTGAATATCCAGTTTTCCCAGCACCATTTGTTGAAAAGACTGTCCTTATCGCCTATGAGTGTTCTTGGTACCCTTGTTGAAAATCATTCGACCATATATGCAAAGGTTTTTTTTCTTCATGTTCTTAATTTGCTGAAAATTATTTATTGGATTGACCTATTGCCAGGGAAAATACGGTATTTTAAAAAAATTGTTCAAGTTTGTTCAATGGGTGTCTTTTTTTCTTCAGCAGCTTGTTTTCTTTTTATGTCATACAAATATAAGACATATCAAGATGAATAACGCCATTTAAAAAATCATTCAGGTACAGATGTAATTATCTTTAACCAGACTCAATGAAAATTTGGGTTTCCACAAATGGCAAATCAGTAGTGATCATTTATCTTACTGAATCACCTAAATTTCCTTTTTAAATATCAAAGGCATAAAAAGAGTTTATATTGTGTTCAAGGTACTGTTATCTCATTTAATCTTATTGTAGCACAAAGAGGTGGCAACATAAGTTTCTTTTCCAACAGTGAGTGTATATGTGGCTTACATTTTTGCAGCTAAAAAGCCTACCTTGAACTTAGAGATAATGGCAAACTAGAGATGCAAAGAAGAAGCAGAACAACAAAGAAGTAGTTGTTGGCACAGTGGGCTCATGCCTATAATCCCACCACTCTAGGAGGCTGAAGCAGGAGAATTACTTGAGTTTGAAAGTTCAAGACCAGCCTGGCATTATGGCGAGACCCCATCTCTACAATTTTTAAAAAAATAACTGCACTTTAAATAGAATGTCTAAGGGAGACGACTGAAATTCAGCAAGGGAGAGACAAAAACCCTCAGAAACACAGAAATTTGGTATAGCAGCACAGAGAGGGAAGTAAAGCACTTATCTGAGATTGGCTTGGAACCGAGAGAGACTCCCCACTAGAGGAAAAAGGTAAGTGTGAAAGCTCCAGCAGTCCCCATCACCAACATGGATGGCTGCAATTCTAGCTACAGAAGGGCCTTGCTGTCTGTGCAAGCCCTGAGTTCAGTACAGGGAGCTGTCTGGATCATGCAGGTGTATTACTCCAGAAAAAGAATTCATGTTTGGTACCCCCTATACATACCCCCCATCAGGACTCAAACTGCTATGGCATGGCAACGTTTTCAGAACAGTTACTGCTGGAGTGCATCTTGCCCTGGAGCCCAACAGCCTCTGCATCTCCACATCCCTGGGGCTCTTCCATTATACCACTGTGCCCACACAAAAGGCTGCAATGCTAAAACCCCGGGCAGACTCAGCGGTACAGCCATGACCCCAGCATGCAAGTCCATGTAGCACCATATACCCCAAAGAATAGGCAGTCCCGTACAGCAGGAAGGCCATGTCCAAGACCAGTGAGCCTTGACAGGTTGGCTCGTGGATACAGAATTACAGCTAGATTAGGAGGAATAATTTTTAGTAGTGTTCTATGGCCCTGTAGGGTGACTATAGTCAAGAATATTTATGGTGTATTTTTAAATATCTAGAAGAGAAGATTTTAAATGTTCTCAGTACAGAGAAATGACAAATGTTTGAGGTTGTAGATACATTAATTACCCTGATTTGATCATTACACATTGCGTACATTTATTAAAGCATCATACCGTGCCCCATAAATATGTATAATTATTATATATATTAATTAAAATATTTTTAAAGACTTCTTTGAAAATTTCCAGACAATACAATAGCAACTTAAAGTACTGTTTTTTTTTTTTAAAGAAGAACATTTCCAAACTAATAGTATTTGCAACAGAAGAGATGATATCTTTACCACTAAAACCTAAAACCTCAAATTATCGGTAACCTCACATTGATTAGAATTAGATTTGACTGTATGGGAGAGTACAAAATTACTTACTTAACCGAGATAAAATGTACTATTCTCTTATGTAACAGAAGTCCAGAAATAGACATTCCAGGAACCGTGTTGCATCTCCACAGGGCTGAGAGCCCAGGCTTCCCCTTTCTTACTGTTCACCATCTGCCTCCCTGCAAGGAGGAAAGAAAGAGAAATACGAGTCCCTTCCCTGAAGACACCATGGCTACTTACAACCCCTTGGCCAGAGCTTAACCCCATGACCCTCCATAATAGAACAGTGACATATGTCAGTAGTTAGAAAAGTTTCAGCAATGTGATAAATCCCTAATACTTTACTGGACAACTCCGACCAGTGTATGTAAGTTATCAACACCTTTTCCCAATAATCTTTTTGAAGCTTCCTGACTTTTTCTCTTTCTGCTGTTGAACACAGGGACCTCCGTCCGTAGATCATCACGAACAATTCCTAGAATGTTTCTTAAATTAAACTTCTGCATAAAAGAAAGCCTGGAATTTTGACATATTCAGGAACTAATAAAAATAGTAATTTAGAAGCTGATTTTTATATCTTTCTTCACCAAAATACCTAGACTCACACATTATTAAGAAATGTAGTCATTATTCCCTCCGTCCATAGATTCTGTTTCTAAAGAAGAAGGAGAAGACTAACACTGGGAAATAACCACCAGTGTTTTTTATACCTACCCCCTCATGGCCTTGTTATAATTCAAATAAAGGCAACAATAATAGAGTCCCTCCTTGTGATGCATCTGATGGCAAATCCTATATGATGTACCACAGGATATCCAAAAGAGCACAAATCTCAGCACATCCCTCACCTGCTTAAATCCTGTCCACGTCTCCTCAAGACCCTTCAGAATAAAGAGACATTTTATGATATCCAAGGCCATCCTTCCTACACTGTCTACATCCATCCCTAACTCAAGTCCTGCCACTACTTCCATTCTTTGCTCCAGTCTTTTCCCTACGTCTACCCTTAGCATCATCAAATCACTTGCAATTCCTCACAGTCACCCTGTGTGTCTGTCCTTAACTTCATCAAATCACTTGCAATTCCTCAAAACCAACCTGTATTTGGGCCCCTCATCCCTGGCAGATCCTGGGGCCTCCGTCTGGAAGCTCTTTCCTGTTCTTTGACTGAGTAACTGTCATCTTATCACAGACCTTTGGCTGTAGAATACACTTGAATCCTGCTTTTTGTGTGAAGGAGAAATGGTACCCTTCACCAATCTGCTGACCCTGGAGAATTGAATCCCATCTGAGCACTTCCTGGATATAGCAGCCATGAAACAGGAATGTGACTCCCTCATCATTGTGGTAAACGTCTCAGTCATGGCAGGCATAAGATCAAGGACAGTGTGCTAGAATATTCTCCATCATATGACCCACAGGTGGCAGAGTGGGGTGAGGGCAGAGGTAGGGCTGGGTAACAGGACATGGTGGGGAGCGGCTGAGTGCTTTATAATCCCTCACTTGCAAATCCAGACTCCAAAACGATATGAAAACTGAAATTATTTTGCAATTCATTGGGGAGCAAAATCTCACCTCATCTGAACTCATTGGGCAGCAAAAACTGACTTGAAGTAATATGAGGCTACTTGTAATCTTTATTCCAGTTGGTGTGAATATTACACATGAATGTGTTTGATTTCAGTGTGCTGAGTCAGGCATTGCTGGGGGTGAGAGAAGTATATGCATACATTTTAGAGAAAGCAGCAGAAAAGGAATTGACTGTGGGAATATAAAGACATTTGACCAGAAGGTTCACATCCACCCTTGACTCGGTGATCAGGTATCAGTGTCCCCAGGCTGCATCTTTGTCTTTCACTCTTCAGAGTGAGTTTGCTTGCCAATCAGACAATGTAAAATGTGTTGAGAGGTGAAACTTATTTTGTGAAATCCTGGATGTTTTAGTCCCTGGAGGACAATGGTCAGCGCCAACTTTTTTTTTTTTTTTTTTTTGAGGCAGAGTTTTGCTCTTGTTACCCAGGTTGGAGTGCAATGATGCAATCTTGGCTCACTGCATCCTCCGTCTCCTGGCTTCAAGTGAATCTCCTGCCTCAGCCTCCCAAGTAGCTGGGATTACAAGTGCCTTCCACCATGCCTAGCTAGTTTTTTGTATTTTTAGTAGAGATGGGATTTTACTATGTTGACCAGGCTGGTCTCAAACTCCCAACCTCAGGCGATCCACCTGCCTTGGCCTCCCAAAGTGCTGAGATTATAGGTGTGAGTCACCACACCTGGCCCAGCTCCAATTCTTTCAGTCTTCACTGAGTCCCCATGCCCTGCCCAGGTGGAAGGTACTCCAGCATATCAGATAGGTGTGTAGGTTTGCAAATCCTACAAAACTTTGCTTGCTTTCTGGGATATGGTCCACATTTGCAAAGAGGGGAAAAAAGCACCTTTCTAAATATCCACATGGCTAGAGACCTACTTTAGGCCTTGTATGCTTCATTACCAGTGCTCCATTAATTTCATAGAATAAATAATGTGCTAACTACATTAAAGGCAACCTTATGCATTTAAAAATCAACATGATTTCAGCATAGGCTCTGGAAGCAAAAATCTTTTTATAGATTTACTCATGTTCAGAGACACAGTGTATATTTTCTTGAACCTAACAGTATGTGACCAAAGCCAAAACGATTAACATATTATTAAACTATCACACTAGGGCAGCTATGAGATTAAATGAGAGCTGTAATCCCGTTTTTTCTGATTTCTATGATTTCCAGACTTTAGTAACTCTCCCTAAGGAAATATTTCAGATAATAAATAATGATGATCACAGTCAAAGATCTGCTAATATTTGTTAATAATTATTCCCAATTTATTAAGAATAGCTGCATAAAATGTCAGAGGAAATTTCCAACTCCGCATGAGGCTGGCATAGTGCCTGGGAAATGAGCTGTTTGCTCAGAGATAGCCTTAGCTTTTTGAAGAAATGTGTTCATTCCTTCAACATACACTTCCTGAATCTTTAGCACATGTCAAGCACAGCATTCGATATTGGAAGTAAAATGATAAATTAGGCACTATCTTCTCCCTTGAGGAAGATGAATTTGAAAACAAGAACAGAAGGAACAGAACACCTTTAGGACTTAATGATACAGGGTCCTCGAACTATATTTTAATTTTCTATTAAAGGGTGGTCTCCATGTCTTCCATCTTTTCTACTAGTTCTCAGCATAGTTTTGGGCTTACAGAATAGTTGGGATAATTAAATGAAAGGCAAAAAATGTAATAAATCTACCAGTAAGTGAACTACAGGGGAGGCTCCTAAAGACATACAACGTTTATCTTTTTCTTTTTTTCTAACTGTTCATCTCACATAAAACTTGCCTGGTATTCCAGAGAGCTCTCAAAAATACTGATGGCGTGAATGAGCCTGGGTTTTTCTGTTACTTTTTTCTTACAGCTAGATTGCTAAACCCTATCTATATGCACACAGGGGTCTGTGATGGTACTACCAGATTTTTCACATATGCACTCTGCTGGGTTACCATGGTGATTATAACTTATCACTGCCTCCCATTATTTTGTTTTCTAGCTTCAATATAACTACTTCTGTGTTCCACATGTGGAAAAGGAGCTGGGAATACAATGACAGTTCACTATTCAAATCCCAGCACCATTTTAAACTAAGAAATAACATTTTAAATTGTGATACCATGTCTTTATAATGTATTTTCATCCCCAAAGCTGGTTATCTGTAATTTTACACACAGGCATACCTTGTTTTATTGTGCTTCTCAGATACTGATTTTTTTTTCTAATTGAAGGTTTGTGGCCACCTTCCATTGAGCCAATCTATTGGCGCCATTTTTCCCAACAGCATGTGCTCACTCTTCTCTTGCGCCTCCAATCATTAGGTTGCTTTTAAAGCTCCAAAATAGGAGCAAGCCAGGATGACAGTGTGCGGTAAAGGGGATTCTCATAAAAGAGAACAAATGGAGCATGTGTTCTTCTTGGATGGCAGCCTGTAAGAAGCTAAGATGGGCCGACATGTTTTAATATAAATGCATTCAGATTTGCAAACTTCACAGGCAAAGCAATCTCCTCGGAAGTACAGCGCAGCTATATTTAAAGTAGATTATTCTTTTTTTATAATTAAGAATAAGGAAAATGATTTCAAGATAGAACAACAAATTACGAGTTTAATTTCCTGGTTATAACATCAGACTTACTGTGCTTTCAATATTACCTTTTTAGGGGTTCATTCACTCATTTCTCAGTTTCAGCATAGAAAACAATTTAGTGTAGATTTAAGAGATTTTAACCAAAGAAGTGCAAACGGAATGGAAGAGGAGAAATGGGGTAGAAAGTAAAGAGGAGGAAAAATAAAGGAATGAGGAATGAAGGAATGTATAGGTTGCATCACTCAGCTTAATGCCTTCCATTAATAGTGTACCTTGATTAATATTTATTTCTCTTTTGCTTCGCCACAATCAGGAATCAAGCATAAGTTACATGATATAAATATAGCACCAAACACTCCCCCAACTTCTTCCCCAGGCTTGCAACACAGAGCTATGTAATAAATGTTTCCATACTTTGGAGCAGAGATTTTTCAAACTGTTCCTTTAGATGCTGCAGTTTCTAGGTATAGTAATAATAATAGCTAATACCTGTGTAATTCTCACTGTGTCCAAGTCCTCTCCCAAGTGCTTGTTATATACTGTGTCTGTTAATACTTACACAAGCCTAAGAGATAGGTGGTCTAATAGCACACCCATTTCACAGATAAGGAAAACAAAGCACAGAGCGATTAAGGTCAGTAGTGAGTAGTGGAGCTGGGATCCTGCACCAGTATCCTTGCTCTGAACTTCAGTGTTACACTCACCCTCCAGTTTTGTCCCAGCACTTTGGGAGGCCGAAGCAGGAGGATGGCTTGAGCTCATGAGTTTGAGACCAGCCTGGCCAATATGGTGAGGACTTGTCTCCAAATATTAAAATTAAAAAAAGGCAAACACATAAATAAAAGGTTTGTTTGATAGGCGGCCCCCAGCTTTGGGTCCCAATATTGTACTATGGGATTCCAGAATACAAGTATGATAAAGAAACATAAGAGAACTCAAAGAGGTCTGAAAAGCAAGATCAATCATGAGAAATTTGACTTATATTCATCTTAAAATTTCCACAGTGATTTGGCTTTGCACAGTATGAGGCTTTGATAGTGATCTCTCTTTACCTGTCAAGAAAATGTGGAAGTGTGAGTAGCATTTATAAGTATTTAGTAGGAAAGCTGAGGAGAACACCCAGAGAAGACAATAAGAATTATATTCTCTGAAGGAAAATCTGTTTCTCTAGGATCTCTAGGCTCTTTATATCTCAAACATTCTAGTATGTAAGAATGCTGCTAAATATAATCTGGGGTATTCATAAGACATACATTTTCAAACCAGACAAACACTGTTTTAAGCTTTTAGTGAAATGTTTCACTAAAGATAAACACGGTTTTAGGCATTTTAGTGAAATGTATTTAGTGAAAGAATTGGAATGCTTAATTTTTAGAAAGGGGTGATAGAGGGTAAATTCTAGAAAGGCTTGGGTTTCAGTGCTCGATAACTAATGTATGGGGTACTCACTGTGTGCAAAGTATGGGTAGAAATTGGGGGACACACAACCCAGAGGCTTCAAGGAGTTTATATCCACATATGAAGAACTTATGTACTTTCTAAAAATGTGTACACTGTATAAACATGTATTACTTTAAAGTAAAATTAAACCTGCTTTTGGTTCTATTTTAATATTTGAAAACTTAATCAGCATTTAGAGCAATTGTGCACAATTGAGACCTCTGTTTGTCCCTTGGATTCTTATAAAAGATACATCTTATTGAAATAAGAGTAATTGAAGATGAAATGACTCAAATTGCCCTCTTGGATCTTTGTCTCTAAGGTCCTACAGATTTATAGTTTGTATACTGGAACTTAGCACTCAATTATGCATCACATGGTGTTACCTGTTTGCTCATCTTTTCCTCCTCATATAAATTTTAAATGCCCTAATTTCAGAGACCATGTCTTATGCTTGTGCAATATTTATAAAAGCATGGCTTCTGTGCTTCAGTCTCAGAAAGCATTAGACCTGAAGGTTGTTGTGTAAAGTCCACACACACACAAAAGTCTTTTGTTTTCCTTCCTTTTCTCTTTTCCTTTTTCTGACTAAGTCTCACTCTATTGCCCAAGCTGGAGTGCAGCAGCTCAATCTTGCAATCTCCACCTCCCAGGTTCCAGTGGTTCTCATGCCTCAGCCTCCTGAGTAGCTGGGATTACAAGGCACACACCACCACGCCCAGCTAGTTTTTGTATGTTTACTAGAGACAGGGTTTCACCGTGTTGGTCAGGCTGGTCTCGAACTCCTGATCTCAGGCAATTCGCCCACCTCTGCTTCCCAAAGTGCTGGGATTATTACAGGTGTGAGCCACCACACCCAGCCCCAAAAGTATTTTCAACTAACTTGTCTTTTGCCTCTGCTGATTAAATACCATGAAGGAAATATAGTCTTCAGAAGTTTTTGTTAACATTGCTTTTCTTCCCCTCCCATCCCTGCCATCCAACAGTTCCTGCATCTCTTAAATAAAAGACAATCAAACATAATTGTTAATTCTATCTCAATTCTAACTTTTGCATACATATCTCAAAAGACTTGACTTATCTTCTTTCTTTCCCCTTCCTTTTGTTTAAAGTTGAAACACAATTCACATAACCACAAAACTCACCTTTTAAAAAGTATGCAGTTTAGCAGGTGTAGGTATATTCAGAAAGCTGTGCAGCTGTCACCACGATCTAAATCCAGGACATTTTCATTAACCCAGAAAGTAGGCTTGTACCTCTCAGCAGTCACTCTGCATTTCCCTCTCCTATTCCCCAGCAACCATGATTCTACTTCTGTCTCTATGCGTATGCTTATTCTGGACATTTTATGTAAATTGAGCTGAATAAAAAACATATGGTCATTCATGCCTGCCTTATTTCATTCAGCATAAGGTTCTCCTTTCTTCCTCCTCCTCCTCTTTTTCCTCCTCCTCCTCCTCTTGTTCTTCTTCTTACTTTACTTTTAAGTTCAAGTGTACATGTGCTGAAAGTGCAGCTTTGTCACATAGGTAAACGTGCGTCATGGGGGTTTGTTGTTCAGATTATTTCATCACACAGGTATTAAGCCTAGTACTCATGAGTTATTTTTCTTGATCCTCTCCTTCCTCCCACCCTCCACCCTCCATATGCTCCAGTGTGCATTGTTTCCCTCTATGTGTCCAGGTGGTCTCATCATTCAGCTCCTACCTATAAGCAAGAACACGGCCTAATGCTTTCAAAATTAGTCTATCATGCAGCATGTATCACTATCTCAGCCCTTTTTATGATTAAATAATATTCGATCGTAGGAATATTTTACTTATTCATGCATCAATGGATGGACATTTGGATTGTACTTGCATTATTTTTTCAATGAAATCACTAAATTATATTAGTTATTTGTTGCCTCATAGCAAATTACCCCCAAACTTAGCAACTTTAAACAACAAATATTAATTATCTCACATAGTCTCTGAGGGTCATAAATCTCAGTGAAGTGGTTCTGGCTCAGGGTCACTCATGTGGGTTCAGTCAAGTTGTCAGCTAGAGCTGCAGTCCTCTGACGTCACCATGAAGACCCACTCCCACACCCACTCACATGGCTGTTGTCAGATCTCAGTTTCTTGCTGGTGGTTGGACAGAGGCTTCAGTGACTTCCCACATAACCTTCCCACATAACCTACTCAAATGTTCACATTTGTTCCATGTGCAAAATATGTTTCCTTCAACACAGTATCCCTGAAATTTACAGCCCATTATGGTGTCATCTTAAAGTCTAAAATCTCATCTAAATTACTTAAGTCAGATATGGGGGAGACTCCAGATATGATCCATCCTAAGGCAAATTTTTCTCCATTTGTGGGCCTGTGACACTAGAAAATATGAAAAAGTATTTTTTTTAAATACAAAGTGGTACATATGTGAATACCAGATATAAGCATTCCTGTTCAAAAAGCAGAAGAATGGAAGGAAAAAAGGAATCATCAGTCCGAAGCAATTTCAAAACCAAGCTGGGAAAACAACATTAGGTTTAAGTCCTTCAGATAAACCTCTTTGGTTCACAACTCTGCCCTCTGGGCTTAAGGTTTTACCCTCTGGACTGTCAGCTCTGCCCTCTGAGTTACCCTTTTTCACAAAGGCTAGCATGTGTTTGTAGCTGAGCAGTTTTACAGCCTTCTTTCTACCTGTAGACTTTTAGGAGTCCAATAGCCTTTCATTTCATGCTGTCTCCTTCAGTCCAAGTTGGCAGTGTTTTTGCTGGTATAAAATTCTCAAGGGCAATGTGAGTCACTGGCATATGTCACGGAGATTTACTCATTAAACAGGAGGCTCATCCACAGATCTTTTCCAGATAATCCCATATCTACTTTTGGCTTCTGATGAGATAGCTAAGGAAATCCATGCCTCCTTCCTTCAAAGATGTTTGGTTCCTAGGGAAAGATTGTCCAGCTATTCCCCTGATTTGCCCTCCAGAGCAAGCTTTTACTTTTGTGATTCTTTGAAGTTTGGCATCTTTCATAAGCCAGAATGACTGAGAATTTTCCAAATCATCAAGTGTTGATTTCTTTATGGTTAACAGTTCTCTTTCCTCTCACATTTGATAATGAAAAGCATGGAGAAACCAGGCTGCATATTCAACACTTTGCTTGGGAATATCCTCAGCTAAATATCCAATTTGTAACAAATTCTGTTTTCCACATTACTGTAGAATATAATTCAGCTTGACATTCTACCACCATATAACAAGGTTGTCATTTCCTCCAGTCTCCATATGTTTATTTCTTCCTCAACCCTTATTAGAAGTGCTTTAGCATCCATATCTCCACCAACAGTTTATGACAATTTATATATCCTATAAGACATGATAGGTTTTCTCTACCATCCTATTCACTTCTGAGTCCTCACTAGCAATCATTACATTAATATTCAGAATAAAGGAACACATACAAATTTATGTTATCAGGTTAGTATGACTCTGACACAAAACTAAAAAAGGGCATTACAATAAGGAAAAATGATAATGCCATATTCCTCGGAAACACAGATGCAAAATTACATACATAAAGGGGATAATTTCTTATGATCAAGATGCATTTTGTCCAGGAATTCATAACATAAGAGAATCAATCAATGCTATTGATTATGTTAGTAAGATAAAGAAAAAAATTTATATGATCATTTTAATAGATGCAGAAAAGGTATTTCACAAGATTCAACAACTTTTCATGATGAAGTTTCAGAGTAAACAAGGCATAGTTTGCTAACAGCCTGGTCAAAGCACTCTAGGATTTTTCCATGATGTTCCTTAAAATTCCTTCATCCTCTACCCACTGCCTAAGTCCAAAGATCTCTCCACAATTTAAAATATTTATTACAGCAGCAACAAAAGTATACAGTGTAGAGTATCGGTACCAAAAGCACACAGTGTCGGTACCAAGATCTACATTAGTTTCCTATTGCCGCTGTAACAAATTACCACAAGCGCAGTGCCTTAGACCAACACATATTGATTGTTTTACATGTTTAGAGGTCAGTAGTCCAAAATGGGCCTTACAGAGTGAAACTCAAAGTAGCAGCTGAGTTGCGTTCTTTTTGGAAGTTCTAGGCAACAGTTTATTTCAGTGCCTTTTCTGGCTTCTAGAGGCCACCTGAATACCTTGGTTCATGATCTCCTTTTTCTGTTTTAAAAGCCAGCCATGTAGCACCTTCCTGACCCTGCTTCCATCTTCTTATCTCATTCAGTAACCAAGTTCTTTGATTTTAAGGACTCATGTGACTAGATTGGGACCTTCTGGGTAATCTAGAGTAGTCTTTCCATCCAAAAGTTTGTAACTTTATCATATCTGCAAAGCCCCTTTTGCCATGTAAGACATTAACTCACAGGTTCCAGGGATTCGGACATGAATATCTTTATGGGCTCATTATTCTTTCTACCATAACATCTTTCATTCAATTTTAACTAGGGATTTGATGTTCTTCGATGCTACTGGAAATTTTTTTATAATTTCAATTTTCAATTATTTGTCTCCAGGAAATAGAAATTTAGTTGATGTTTGCATATTAACCTCGTATCTAATGATCTTCTAAATTCATTTATTACTTCAAATATGTGTTGGACTTTGGAATATTCTATGTATGTAATTATATCACCTATGAATGACAATTTAAAGTTTATGCCATTTATAATTTATATACATTTTTCTTGGCTTATGATGCTAACTAGGAACTGTAGTACAATGTTAAATAGAAGTGGTTAATAATGAACATCTTTGTTCCTTAACTCAAGAGGAAAGCATTCAATATCTTACTATTACTCATAAAGTTAGTGATGGGTATTTTATAGATAACCTCCACCCAGAGATCTTTCTGGCCATGTCTGGCTCTTCCTAGTTTACTCTGAATCTTCATCATGAAAGGCTGTTGATTTTGTGAGATACTTCCTTTGTATGTAATAAATGATCGTATAAATTTTTCTTTATCTTATTAACATAGTCAATAAGATTGACTCTCTTGTGTTATGAATTCCTGGAATGAATGCATCTTGATTACAAGAAATTATCCTTTTTGTACGTTGCTGGATTTGATGTGCTATTTTGCATCTGTGCTCCTGAGGAATATTGGCATTATAACTCTTCTTTATTGTCAGGTCTTTTCTAGTTTTGTGTCAGAGTTATACTAGCCTTATAACATGAGTTGGTAAGCATTTCTTCATTCTGAATTCTCACCGAGACAGATAGGCTGAGGAAGGTCACCTCATTTCAATTAGAGGTTAAGCAGGATCAGGACTGGCGCAGTTTTAGTGAGCTCAGCACATATCAGGTTCGCTTCTATTTCTTTCTTTCTCCTTTTAGAGTTGGGATCTCACTCTGTTGCCCAGCCTAGAGTGCAGTGCCATGATCATGGCTTACTATAGCCTCAAAGTCATGAGCTCAAGCTCCTCTTTCACCTCAGCCTCCTGAGTGGCTGTGGCCAGTGTGCCTGGCCTTAAAAAAATTATTTTTGTAGAGATGGAGTTTCACTATGTTGCTCAGTCTGGTCTTGAACTGCTTTTCTCAAGCAATCCTCTCCCTCTGGTCTCCCAAAGTACTGGGATTACAGGCATGAGCCTTCATACCTGGCCCTCACTCCTTTCTCAGGCATGAACCTTCCAGAATTTTCATTGAAATGCTGGTCGTTCTATTTCATGAGAATCCTTCATTTCAAAGATTTAGGGCTAACTCTGTCGTTTCTCACCTCATGTAATACAGGATCAAAACCAGGCAAATGTCTTAATTGGGGGGAATAGGGAGTTGGTTTTTTTCTTGTCGCAATGGGACATTGTTTCTCCAGCTCAAATGGGGGATATATCACTCAGCCTTTCCACATCAGGCCCTTAGCTTCCTGTACTCCTTGAGACTTCAAGAAGCATTGAAAGTAGGAGAAATAGCCAAGTATTTTTATTTCCCCTGATATCCAATTTCTCACACCATCATGAAGCAACTGCCAAGAGCTTTTCTGGTTTTTCTTTCCCTATTTGTTGTGCTACTGTATGGGCTAAATCTCGCCCTCAGCCAGGCCCAGAATTGGCAAATGCCACCAAGGAAGAAAACAGCTGGTGGTCATCAGCTCACCTAGAATGGGCTCTTCTCTCCCCAGAATGTTGGTTCATCTGTGCTTGTCACTTCCCACATTGTAGAATGGGCTCTTCTCTCCCCAGAATGTTGGTTCGTCTGTACTTGTCGCTTCCCACATTGCCTGATGTCTTTAACAATTCTTGTAATTTATCCATTTTTAGTTAGTTCTTATAGATAGATAAAATGTTGGCCTCCCATGGCCGAACACGTCTTACCTAAAAT